TGAGGACAGAAACACCCACCAAAGCGCAGAGATGCCCAGTTGACTTTGTCTCTTTCTTAGAAGGTTGGCGCACTTTGGTTCAATAACCGCCATGTTTTTATTAGACAAGAGGGTTGGGAATGCAAAGTCAATCCCAGACTTCCCTGGGAAGCACTAGTGTTGATGCTGTGTCCAATGAGCTGACAAGGACACGTGTGTAAAGGAAAGGCCTGTGGATAATCTTGGATGTATAAAAGGGGGTGAAGAGGTATGGTTATTGACTGACAGGCAGCCCAGTATTCCCCAGTAAGCTACCTCAGGTTGGTTCTGAAGCCTACACTGTGGACCTCACCATTACCCACCCTGCCTGGCTGTGTGCCCACCCCCTTCCCTCAACGCCTCCCCCTCTTCCCCATCTCATAGGACTATCGGTGAATCCTGTACTGCCAAGGATGTTAATAGAAAGTCCCAGGGGCTGGGCAGGGCCTCAAGAATCCTTTAATGAGACTTCCTACCCCTGCAGTGATTAGAATCGGCAGAGGAATTTAGGAAATAAAAACGTTTTGAATGCCTATGTGTTGAGGTGGTGGTAGCCATAGATCTTGCCACAGTTTCTCCCCAGGTGACTCAGCCTCTGCTTCACCGCCCCCCCCCCCCCCCCCCCCCCCCCCCCCGCTTTCATTTTCAAATCAAACATGCCGAGAGAACATGATAAATCAGAACCCACTTGGGCCTGCCGGAGCCAGCATCTGGTCTAGTCTGAGGAGTAGCAACAGCTACTCCTGGTGCCTTTGTTTTCTCACCTGTTGCCCCCCTCTTGCCCTAGGCTTTGGGTTTCTGCCTGCTTGGATCCAAGGAAGTCCTCAAAACCCCGGCAGTACTTTGCCCTAGGCCAGAGACTCAGGAGGAGGTGGTAACTCACCGGATAGGTCAGTGCTTCCTTCTCCGTGAAGAGGCACAAGACAGCAGGGTAGTTCAGGAGGTACTGGGGGCCTCTGCCCTGGACAAAGCCTGGCCAGAGCCACCCTTCTCCATAAGCCCAGGTTAGTCTTAAGGACAGGCTTGTTCAGCAGGGTACAACACAGCTTGAGGAACACAGTGGATTGTAGCCTTGACATCAATTAGGAATGGATAGATGGTGGGGATAATGAAGGGCAGATTTAGTCCCCGAGAGTATGGCTCTTGCTCAGGGGAGGTGGGCCAGGTGGTGCAGACTCTTTTCACCCCACTTGGCATTTTAAGTCATCAATCCATGTATCTATCCATCCGGCAGATATTTATTGGGTACACAGGATTAGTACATCTACCAAGCCTCAGTCCCTGCAGTGAATGTGAGCTGGAACCCAAGCTAGGGGTGGTGGAGTCTCAGATCCTCTGGGAGACTATATCCTGGATCCACTTTAGTCCCCTTCATACACTCCCACTTGGTGACTCCTTAATCACTAACTGCAGAGATGGGAAATAGACATGATGCTGTTTCATTGTCCCCGCCACTCTCCCAGGGGGTGAACTCATGCTTAGGGAGATGAACAGACTGACCAGGGTTGCACCAAGAGCCACAGGATCTGTATCCACCCCAGTCCTATGCTACCAGAGGCCCAGGGCCACAGACAGTGCATTGCACCATCTGTCCTGCTGAGATTTTTGCCTTTTTGTCACCGACAGCCACAGGAGACGCACACAGCCTGGTGAAAGACAAGACCTCCTTTGCTCAACACTTTGAGTGATTTCAAACCCTCTACAAGTTAGTGCCGGAGAGCTTCTTCAGCTCCCAGGGACGGTAGCCTCTTGTGGCCCACACGAACACTGTACGTACCCAAACATCTCTAGGTTGCTGCCCAGCAGCTAAACAGTGGTAGCCATGATTCATTTGTCCCTTTGATTGTCATACTGGCCTGTGGAAGTCTCCCCCTTTGGTTTTGTTTGCTTATAATGGACCCTCCGATTCAACCAGAAATCAACATAGAAAATGCGAAGAGGTAGGGACTCTGAGCTGTCCACAACTCAGGGGTATCCAGAGGCTGTGGTTTCCTTGGGGTGGGCCAGAGACGTTTCCCTCAGCCTGTGGGAGGAAAGGGAAATCTCTAATAAGGCTGCTTTTACCTTGGTGTTTTATCAGGAACACAGCGGGACAGTTTCCTACTTATTTTTCTGTGGTGCCAAGGACCAAATCTAGTGCCTGCAGGCAGGTGCTCTACCGCTGGTCTACATTCTCAGCTTCTTTCTCGTTTTCATTTCTAGACAGGGTCTCACTAGCAGCCCAGCTGTCCTTGAACTCACTAGATACTTCTGGGTGGCCTTGAACTTTGGATCTTCATTTCTTAGCCCCGCCCCCCAGTTGCTGGGATTGCAGACCTGTACCACTAGCCCCCCCCCATACATACACACTTTCTGTCTGTCTTTCTATTTTTTTTTTTTTTTTTTTTTTTTTTGGTTTTTCGAGACAGGGTTTCTCTGTGTAGCTTTGCGCCTCTCCTGGAACTCACTTGGTAGCCCAGGCTGGCCTCGAACTCACAGAGATCCGCCTGGCTCTGCCTCCCAAGTGCTGGGATTAAAGACGTGCGCCACCACCGCCCGGCCCCTGTCTGTCTTTCTATTAAGCATTAAAAATGCACTTATGTTTTTGAGGCAGTGGTCATTGCTTCAGAGGGCAGGTGGTAACTGGTGCTTTTGTTGGTGGCGGATCTTGGCTGGCAAAAATGTGTCCCGTGTTCTTTGCAATTGTAGGGGCCAAAAAGTTCTGAAATCTGGAAATGGCCCCTAATTTAGGCTGTTGGTTTTTACAGCGTCCATCTGGGGGTGGGGGTGGGGGTGGGTGGGAGGTGGTGCTGGTTTTGAGGAGTGGAAGGGAGGTACCACCGTGGAACCTGTTGTCTCATTTCCAATTCATACATTAGATGTGTTATATGGTTCTGCTTGGCAATTAAAGGACGCTGCCTCCAAAGGTTGAAGACCCCCCTCCTCTAGGCTGGGGTGGGGGTGTGTGGAGGAGGGAGAGAAGAAGGAACATGTGCCCACCATTTTGGCAAGTGTTTCAAGTATCTCCTACTGATGCTATAAGCAGGACTCTCCAGAGAAAAAGGCCAAGAAGGATGTGTGCACAGATCTCTGTCTCTGTAGAGAGAGAATGAAGCTGAGAGATTTGTTTTAAGGAACTGGCTCACATCCCCGTAGGGGCTGGCTGCCCATTCCTAGCCAGCAGGGCAGGCCAGCAGGCTGGACAGCTACCAACATCACACAAGTGACCTGCTTTAGTCAGGGACAACTGACTTTAATTGTTAACCTTATCTAAACAAAACAAAACAAACATCAGAGGATCATCCAGAGTACACTGATGTTTGATCAGGTGTTTGGGTATCTCAGCCTAGCGAGGTTGAAATAATGGAATTAACCCCCATCTCCTCAAGTGCCTCTCATACCTGTGGGAGTGTTAGAGGCCAACAGAGCCGGGGAAGCCATGGCCTCTCCTCACGAAGACCATTCTGTGCATAGGAAGTGGTAAGAGGGAGGCCTAACTCATTGAGTGTGTTACTTCACAAAAACGTAGTGTAAAAGATACTTAGAGTTGATGATACGGGTGAGGCCCAGAGGATCAGGGGAGATTTCCTAGTAGGGCCTGAGGAATAAACTGTCAGGGCACAGAGGTTCAGCTGTAGAAGGTTGCACAAGACTTGGGAATCAGAGTAGACCAGAAGGATGCTGGGAATCAGAGTAGACCAGAAGGATGCTGGGAACCAGAGTAGACCAGAAGGATGCTGGGAACCAGAGTAGACCAGAAGGATGCTGGGAACCAGAGTAGACCAGAAGGATGCTGGGAACCAGAGTAGACCAGAAGGATGCTGGGAACCAGAGTAGACCAGAAGGATGCTGATGACTCAGTTGGCTTTCTCCAGACTAGCAGCTGTAACCAGCTGTGCATCCTAATTCAGAAAAGTGTACACCTGTGTTAAACAAGTACAGACTGTTAGATCTTGTCTTTAGTACCTCAACAGTGCACCCTAATAACTCCTTATAGCATTTCTTTTGGTGGTGACAGCAGCTTTTAATTGTTAGTTGTTGTTTTTTAAATTTTTATTCTTTATTTTATGTGTATTGGTATTTGGCCTGCATGTATGTCTCTGTGAGGGCATCAGGTCCCCTGGAACTGGAGTTACAGACAGTTGTGAGCTGCCATGTGGGTGCTGGCAATTGAACCCCGGTCCTCTGGAGGAGCAGCCAGTGCTCTTAACCGCTGAGCCATCTCTCCAGCCCCATTAGTTGTTTTTTTATTGTTGGTTGTTTGGTTGGTTTTGTGGAAACAGGGTCTCGTGTAGCCTAGGCTGGCCTTGGACTTGCTATAGATGAGTATGACCTTGAACTCCTGATTCTTCTCTTATATCCTGAGTGCTAAGATTGCAGTCATGCCCACCATGCATGGTTTATGTATAGGGTGCTGGGGCTTAAATCCAAAGCTTTGTACATGATAGGCAAACATTCTACCAATGGAGCTACCTCCCATGGCCTTTGTATAGCACTGTTATTACATTTTATATCATCCGGGACAGGTACATAGCATTTTATACAAGGCTAAATGTTCATGAATTTTGGTATCCTTAAAGACTCTAGGGTCAACCTCCCACAGAGACTGGGGAGCGAGAGTCCAAGCTCATGAAGAGTTTTCAAAGGTGTCGTTTCAATGCTTGCTCATAACAAATGTGGTTTTTCATTGAAGATCTCGAGGCCCAGAGTGGTTAAGGGCTCTAACAGAAGCCACACAGAGTACCCATGGCAGGACTCAGTAGGGAGCTCATTCATATTCTGCACACCCTCCCCCTTCTTTGCTTGTCTTTTCTGTAAGCTGTGAAGGCTTTTCAAATGCAAGGCTGTGGAGAGTTATGGGGGACGGAGCACTTTGCGTATTTTTTTTTCTCACCAAGAAGTCCTGAGAACTGACTTTTTCCCTTCTGTTCTCTGGGTTGCCTTTTCTCCCCTTTTCATGCGTATTAACTCCCTGATTCATACATATTTTCTGTCTCCCGCAGACACGAATGCAGAGTTTGAATCCAGATCCCAAAGCCCAGTATCCAAGCATCTATGGTGCCTTCAAGAAGATCATACAAACAGAAGGCTTCTGGAGGCCCCTGAGGGGCCTGAACGTGATGATGATGGGCGCAGGGCCCGCTCATGCCATGTATTTTGCCTGCTACGAAAACATGAAAAGGACTTTAAATGACGTTTTCAGCCAGCAAGGAAACAGCCACCTAGCTAATGGTATTTTAAAAGCGTTTGTCTGGAGCTAGGAAGCTCTTCTCTTCAGTACTTGCTCCCTGGGTCTTCCTCCCCAGGACCCAGCAGCCTTCGTCTTCATCAGCTTGCTCAGGAACAGAGAACTCTAGGGTCACGTGAATGTACACACATATACACACACTCATCATTTTTTTTCCCTCCTCTTCCTCTGGGGGAAGCTGATGGTAGAAGTGTTTTGGTATTTATTGTTGCGTGGGCTTTTTTTTTTTCTTACAAAAACCACTCAACACAATTAATGATCAGTCATAGGAATAAAATTCTTTTGAATGCTGGATGCAAAACAAAACTCAGAAGGACAGCTTCCTTGAGACTATTTAAAAACTGGTACAACAGGTCTCTCCAGCACCAGGATCTAACTAAGCCTTGAAAGGTCAAGACGTTTTTATGCTGACAGAGGACTCGTGCCACTGCGGAAGGCCTTCCCCACTTTAAGCTGCAGGAGATTCGGGCTTTTGAGCCTCCCTCCCCAGCCTCCTCCGTGTGTCTGAGTCGCATCTTTCTGCAAGCCAGGGCTGAACTAGTTTCCTGTGGTTGATCTTGGGAGGACGGGTGGATGGGAATTGGGCATTTGTGGGCAACTGGTGTATAAGGCAGGAGCCAATGAGCCAGGCCAGATGGTAGCATGGGGTGGGACTTCAATGGGCTTTTCGGTGGAGGGGACGGGACTATAAATAGCAGAGCAACGTAAGATATGTTTATTTTGACAAAATCCGTTTTGAGGCAATGGAGAGGCGAATGTGATCAGCGGTAAAGCTCTGGTTGGCTTTTTTGTTCTACCCCGAACAAAATAGCATCCTTCCCATCAGCCACCCTTAGAGACAAGCATACTCGGCTGCTTGGCTGACATCCTTTGGCTTTTCTGCTGGTGACCGTTCTTTGCATTTATTGCCCCAGTCACCAAGAGCCACGCCCCCATGCATCTCCGAGGCCGTGTGACAACAGGCCCTTCTTTCACCCAACCCTTGAAGGAGACAGTCTGCCCAGTGCTGTCCCTGCAGCATTGTGCTAAACGCTGTGGTCGTTGTCACCTCTCTGGGGATAATTGCCTTTGTGTCTATGTGTGCAGTAGGCAGGGGCCGCTAGGTGCCTTCCCAAGAGGTGACTTATAGTCTGTCCCTCATCCCTCCCACTGGTCATATCATTAGCAGGCAGCTGCACTGCTGTGGCAGGCAGGAGGAAGCCAGAAGCAGAAATTCCAGGGCCGGTTCAGGCTTTCAAAGCCATGCCGGGGGAGACCTCAGATGAAGTTCATTCACAAGGCCAGACCTGAGAGTGCACTCTTAAGGCAGCCTGCCACGTGTGTGATGTTATCCCCTTCAGCAGCCTCAACTGAAGGGCACAGAGAGCGAGCGCTCTGTACCCAAGGGCTCAAGACAAGAGAGCTAAAATCTAGGCAGTGGGAAACGCTTACAGTGTGGTTTCTGGGCTCTAACCTTTCCCACGGTTGACTTACAAGGAAAAAAAAAAGGCCTCTGAGATGTGTATAACAATGCTCTCTGGTCAGCAGCACTCTGTGTTGCTATTCAGCGTTTCTACCACCGCTTTGGGGTTTTAAAATTTGCTCATCTGGGCCCAGCTGCTAGTCAGTTTTGAGCCTTAGAAAGCTAAATCCAGAGTTCATCTGACTTGTAAGTTCGAGGAACTTTCGGGAACACCAGGAGTCAGCGGTTGATTTTCTGGAGTTTGTTTTGCAGGGATAGCTGGGAGTATGGCCACCCTACTCCACGATGCAGTAATGAACCCAGCAGAAGGTAATGTCCTGCGGCTCTAGGGAGGGACAGTGGGGGATAGGTGGAGAGGCCAGAGGAGCTGGGGGCAGGAGACGGGCAAGGGCTGGATTCATCAGAGCCTGCAGGACGCCCATATTCTTTATACACGACTGGGAGGCCTCAAGAAAGCCAGGGAGCACCGGAGCACCGGAGCTTTCTGCTGTGGAAACAGCTCAGCAGAGCGGTCTGCCTACTTGCAACATCCTAGGAGGAGCTAAAAACTGCTCTTCGGGCTCCGCCCCAGGCCCACTGGGGCAGAATACTTGGGGATTGCTTTGCACGGTTTTCACTGCTGTTCAACAACCTGTGTGTTCAAGGGTGTGCACAACAAGCAAATATACACATCTGACACTGTCCATTTTTTCCAGTCACAAATTTAGAGGGCACTGTTGCCATCTCATCCATTGTGGGTGGCATCATCCCCCACCACTCCCCCCTCCTTAGTACAGAATCTCACCATACAACCCAGGGTGCCCTGGAACTCTCTCTGAGACCCAGGCTATCCCAAATTCCAAACCTTCCTGCCTCGGCCTCTTGAGCACTGGGATTATTGGGATGTGTGCATCACCATACCCAGCCTCCCCCTGCCCCTGCTTAATTGGTAATGATTATGGAAAAATTTCAAGAGAAGGTGAATATATAGAATTATTAACCCTATGTACTTCTAAAATTAACATGTGGCCATTTCGAGAGGGGCTTTTTCTTACTCTTTATTTTAGAGGTCCTCTTAAAACATAGGGCAGTATTTATAACCCACTTGGTGTCCTTATGCACGCTTAAATCATCTCTGGCTTACTCCTAGGTTTCAATCCTGTGTAAGTAGATGCTGTATGATATCCCCTAGGGAATAATGCCAAGAGAAAGGTCTGCATCTGTTTGCGACAGACCATTGTCTTTCCTGGTTATTTTGATGTACAGTTACTTAAATCTGTGGATACAGAGTCATGGTACCGAGGGACTGACTATCTGTATATATCTTGGGATCCTTTCTTTTTTTAAAAAAAAAAAATCTGTCCATACAGGGACCTGACGATGACAGTCACATGATCAATGTTAACTAAGCAAAGAGTTGATTTAAACAGCATTTTTGTTTGTTTGCTTTTGAAACAAGGCCTTGTTATGTAACCCAGGCTAGTCTTGAAGTCTCTATCCCCCAACCTCCAGATTTCTGGGATTTTAAGTAAATGCTATCACACCTGGATGTTCATATTTAAGAAAATTTTTTATGTATATGAGTGTTTTGTTGGCGTGTATTTATGTGTACCTGGTACCCACAGAAACCAGAAGAGTGTATGGGATCCCCTGGAACTGGAGCTATAGACAGTTGTGAGCCTCTTTGTGGGTGCCAGGAATCAAATCTGAGTCCTCTGGAAGAGCAGCCAGTGCTCTTAACTTGAACTATCTCTTCAGCCACCACCTACCCCTTTTTATTTTAATAATTAAATGAGGCTCATCTCCGCTCTCCACTTGGCTTTACTCTTGACTCGGTCCCTCTTTACAGATGGAGCCCGTCATGTGGATGCTCTTGGCAGTGTGTAGGTGCCATAAAATTCTAGGGAACACACTTCATGTTCTCTGGCCCCATGAGCCATTTGTTTATTTTTGTCTTAAAGCCAGGGTCTACACTGGGGACGTCATTCAGCTTTGACAGATGTAGTTCTGGTGTTGTCCCAGGTGAACTGTAATACAGATTAAAATCAGAGAAGTCAGGGATACTCTTATAGGTTAGTGTTTTGTTTTGAGACAAGATCTCACTATGTAGTCTTAGCTGGCCTGGAACTGCCTGTGTAGACCAGGCTGGCCTTGAGCTCATACAGATCCACCTGTTTGTGCCTCGTAAGCTGGGATTAAAGGCATGTGCCACCATGCTGTCAGCTCAGGTATACTCTTTTTTTGTTTGTTTGTTTGTTTTTGTTTTTGTTTTTTTCGAGACAGGGTTTCTCTGTGTAGCTTTGTGCATTTCCTGGAACACACTTTGTAGACCAGGCTGGCCTCGAACTCACAGAGATCAGCCTGGCTCTGCCTCCCGAGTGCTGGGATTAAAGGTGTGTTCCACCACCACCCGGCTCAGGCATACCGTTAATAGATGGGACAAGGATAGGTCAGGGAGAGGGAGTTATTTGTGGGGAGTGTGTAGAAGGCTAAGACCTTGGGGGTCAGGTCATCTAATCTAGGCTGAAGTGAATGCCTGATTTGGGGTGACCTCTCCTTCAAACTTCAGACAGGACATTCTTTAGAAGTACCCACTTTCCTGGCACAGGGTCCTGGAGATAGAAATGAAGCAAAGTTGAGGCGGGCTGCCTGGAGCTGGCCCTCCACGGCTTCCTGGCTGTGTGTGTGTGTGTGTGTGTGTGTGTGTGTGTGTGTGTGTGTGTTTGTGTGTTTGTGCGTGCGCGCGCGCTGTCTTGGTACCTGTCACCGATGTGTGTTCTAACATGCTTGTTTCTCTTTATTGGTTGGCTTCCCATTTCACTCCCATCTGGGATGGGGGCCAAACCAACCGCCTGCCTGCCTGCCTGCCGACTGCTCATCCCTGCCTGGACACAGTGGTGAAGCAACGCTTACAGATGTACAACTCTCAGCACCAGTCAGCCCTCAGCTGTATCCGGACGGTGTGGCGGACCGAGGGGTTGGGGGCCTTCTACAGGAGTTATACCACACAGCTGACCATGAACATACCCTTCCAGTCCATCCACTTCATCACCTACGAGTTTCTGCAGGAGCAGGTCAACCCCCTCCGAAACTACAACCCACAGTCTCACATCATCTCAGGAGGCCTGGCCGGTGCGCTGGCTGCAGCTGCGACCACCCCGCTGGACGTCTGCAAGACCCTCCTCAACACGCAGGAGAACATGGCGCTCTCCCTGGCCAACGTCAGTGGCCGGTTGTCGGGCATGGCTAATGCCTTCAGGATGGTATACCAGCTCAACGGCCTTGCCGGCTACTTCAAAGGTATCTATGCTCGGGTCATCTACCAGATGCCTTCGACCGCCATCTCCTGGTCCGTCTATGAGTTCTTCAAGTATTTCCTTACGAAGCGGCAGCTGGAGAATCGAACTCTGTACTAAAGGAACGGGCAGTGGGAAGTGGTTCCAGCATCTTTTGTTCCTGCCTCAGCCCCTTGTCCTCACACCCAGGCCCTGTCCCACAGGGTGCTCGCGCCGGGCCCTTCATCCCCCGGTGCCCTAGAAAGGGAAGACCAGCCTCCACGGCTCAGAAGGCTGTCTGTGGGGACATCCCAGGTGGGGGTAGGTGGGAAAAACTTGGGAAGGAGAGCGAGAAGTTGCTTTTTCTCCTCCTCCCTTGAGAGGAATGTAGCTTTCCTGCATCACTGTGGCCTTCTCCTCCCGAGATCTTTAGATCTCACCGCCGAGGAGAACAGTGGCAAAGAAAGAGTTTACGTACATAAAAGTACCATTACCCAGTCTACAATAGGTGGATAATGGTTATCCTTTATTTTTCTACATAGAGATTTTTGAAATTGTGTGTGCTTGTGTGTGTCCATACATAGTGTTAGAGTTGGGATGATGTACCTGTTTGTTTTTTTTTTTTTTTTAAATAAGAGGGTTGAATCCTTCCACCATGAGAAGTAAAACAAAACAAAACAGGAAAAAAAGGCACCAAAGTAATAAATGGCTTTATGTGGCCTGAAATTGTGTGTAGCACCCCTCCCATAGGAGTTTAACTTGAATGTAAGATAATAAATACGAACTTTATATTTTGAATTTCTCTTTTCATGGGGAAAAAAGGTACGTTGAAAACAAATCAAGTCAAAATAATGATCACTTGGAGCTTTTTTTTTTTTTTCTTTAACAAAGAATAACAAAAAAGTCACCCACGTGTGCCTTTCTGTCTTTCCTAAAACTTCCAGGACCAAAGCTATGGCCCTGGAGCATCTCCCTCCGTCTGTGGACCCACCCATACGGCCCTAAGCACCCTGGTTGTCCACACTGTAGGGTAGTGGCCCTGGTAGAATAAGAATGGCTGGCCTTAACCTTCCCTGAGAGTGATGTGAATGTGTGCCCCCCACTTATCAGCACTTACGCACTGGATAGGCCATCATTTGCCTAGCAAATCAGTGAGACAATCCCGCCTTTGTCTTAGGACTGATTTCTGTCGCGACCTCATTCTCAGGCACTTCAGCTAACTTGGTCGGTATGTGTCTTTATTAGTCACCTCTTAACCCATTTTCCCTGCAGTCTAGGGATTTTTGAAAACCACAGTTAGAGTATTTCTGGCGTTCATCTGTCCCCTGCCCTGTTCAGCCCTGTGTCTTGACCGTCACAGCCTCTTACTGCACCGAGGCCAGCCCTCCAGCCCAGACTGCACTGTTGAAGCCTGCTAGGACCCTCTGTCTGCCTCTCGAAAGCTGCCCAGCAGCCTTGTCTCATCCCGTGTCACTTGAGAACCTATGTTCTCTCTGCTTTGTTTTCTGACATGGAGTCAGATCATCTCTGAGAGAAAACACAAGCCTGTGTCTTCTAGTCGGCCGCTCTCGTGGAGATGACAGGATGGTCTCAGTTTCCCTCTTCCAGCTTGTCTGTGAATGAGCAGGGAACACACTGGCGCTTTCATTTTGTTGGCCCTGGTTTCCTTTGGGAGCCATGGCTAGCGTGCTCCCTCTCACTAGGGAGGCATGGACCTTAAGTTCCTGTGGATGGGTACAGCTGCCTGGGAAAAATCCAGCTTGTACATGGAGAATTTTCATCTTGGGACCACGCATCACCCAGTGCCCCTGGGCACAGGTTTTGTTTTTGCCCAGCAGCGGTGAGAAGTTACATAATGGTCAGCTGTCTTCTCTTTTCTTCAGATCAGGAGGAGGAGAGAGCCAGCTCAAGTACTGGGATGTGCTGCTGCTCCATGAGGGCTGCGTGGCTGGCTACTGACCTGTCGCAGCACAGGTTTCTGTGCTTGCTGGTCTCCCAGGCTGGCTGGTGTCCTGTTATCACTGAAAATGTTTCTACTCTCACCCTGCGAGTGTTGAGTAGTGTTAAATTCTGTAAATGGAGGGGGAAATCAAATCATAGAATCTAAAGTAAAATTTAAATCAAGTCCAAAACATTATTCCTACCCCACCCTTTGGTTTATTTGGTTGACCAATACCGCTGTAAAAACAATATTCCCTGTTGGATTTTCTTTACAGTTATCTTCTGGAATAGCCTCTTTGGTCAGGGCCGTGTAAGACGGAGAGGTAAGACCAGGACTTCAGGACTCTGTGGGCTTGAAGTCCAGGAGTCCAGTCCTAGCTGTGCCCTCCCTGTGATGATGGGTAGATCTGCAGGGAGGCTGCTTTTTGAACCAGCCCAGGCCAGCCCAGCCAGTCACCATAGGTTGAACAAGTGATGTATCTGAAAAAGTTGTGAGGCATTGAACAGAAGTGTTTGTCACTCCAGTGGGGGCTCATTTTCCCCCCTCTCACCCTTCGCTCCAAAGCTGGTATTGTCCTCACCCCCATGCACGTTATATATATATAGCCTATGTGTTGATTGTGATTGTTTTTGACACCGCCAAGTTCTAAATAGGAAAATGCTTCCCCTACCCCAGTGACCAGGTTAATAGAGTCCTTGTCATCTTTGCAGTGACATCCACGGATGGACCGTGCCACCTGGGTACACTGTTAATACTTTAACTGTGTGTGTGCTCAGGCCACATGACAGTCAACCACTTAATAGATGAGTGTTAATTTATTATAGACCAAAACCTTGATCTTTTTAAAATGGAATGTTTTTAGTTCATGCCTATTTTTAAAAAATTGGATTCAATAGAGCTACTTTTATGTGTGCTTATACCCACCCCCGCCCCCCAATGTCATACAGCCATCCTCCTCCAAACGCCATCCCAAGGCTGTATCCATCTCCAACACACTGCTACACCAGCAAGGTTTTATTTAACTTTATTTATGGGTATTTGTGTCCGTGAACAACAGATGTGCCGCTGCCAGTCGCACAGTGTGTGGGTTAAGAGTGGTCCAGTGTTATTTTTCTGAATGTGTTAAAATGCCTGTGGTGGAGATTATTGTCCTTGCCTCGTGACGGCGGAGTACGAGGTGCTGAAGTGTGTTCCCATGTGGGGTGTCTGCCGTGCTGCTACAGCTGTAACACTGGAGCTGGGAAAAATAAAGCATTGATCCTGAACGCGTTGTGGGCTCTTTGTGGGAACACAGAAGGGGCAGGAGAGTGGTCCTAGAGACCACCTCATAGAAAGGACAGCTAGGCTGGGAACTTGTCTGATGGGGTGCAGAGCACCACCTTGCCAGCAGAGGGCGCCTCTGTACACCACCATGGCTGGAGGCCAGCTTTATTTTTTTTTTTTAATTTTACATACATTGGTGTTTTGCGTGCATATATATCTGTCAGGTACCCTGGAACTGGAGTTACAGACAATTATGAGCTGCCGTGTGGATGCTGGGAATTGAACCTGGGTCCTCTGGAAGAACAGCTGGTGGGTGCTCCTGACTGCTGAGCCATCTCTCCGGCCCCTCCTGCTTGCTTTGAACACCTGGCGGATTTTGACTTTTCTCAGCACATCCATTCATGGAGAGTCAGTTGGGAACCTCTTACAGAGAAAGCCCCATTTGACCAAACAAACCATCACAGCCAAAGCCAGAGAGTAGAACTTTCCCAAGAGGTGCAAGTGAGGAATCTTGAAAGGAGTTTGTTCTGAGAACTCAGGACTCTACCCAGAGCCAAGGCCATTGATGTACTCAGTGTGACTGCAGAGTCCCTCCCAAAGGTACAGAGTTAGAATGGAGGCTAAGCCTGAGATCCAGCCGTGGACACGGGTGTCTGCTGGGCAGAGTGTGTTGGGTATCAGCTTTCCGCCTTGCCCTCTTACCCACAGCCAACTCTGAGCTGCTCAAAGTAACCTCGTGCCTTATAGCTGCTGCATTTTGGCATGGGATGTGGGGGATGGGGTGGGTTCAGTATCTACTTACTCATTCAGCCCATTCTTCCTGCCTGCCTGGATAAGCTGAGCCAGCAAATACACAGTGAGTGCGGCCAACAGAATTCATGCTGGAGCTGTGGGATGGAAGTGTAAGGTGCCCTGCCCTCAGAGACCATCCTACCTCGGAGAATACGAAGACAGCCAGACCTGTTGGTGCAGGCCTGTCATCTGCCCGGGAAGCAGGAGGTGACAAATTCAAGGCCAGCCTGGACTAAAGAGTGAATTTAAAGCTACTTTGAGCAACTTAGTCTCAAAAAGTTTAAAAAAAAAAAAGTGGGGTGGGGTGTGTAGCTGATAGACATGGCTCAATTAGAGTGCCTACTGTTCTTGCTGAGGACCTGGGTTCAGTTCCCAACACCATGGGTAGCTTACAACCATCTTGAACTCCAGCTTCTGGGAGTCTAATGCCTCTGGCCTCCATCGGATATCTGCACTCACATGCACATACCCTCCACACATACACGTAGTGTAAATAATTTTAAAATAGTTTTTAAAGTTTAAAGGGGACTCAGGTTAAGCTGAGTGGTAACGTGCTTGCCTAGCATGCACAGGGGATCCTGGCTTCAGTCACTATCCACCAAAAGGCAAGGTGCAGACTGTCTTCTTGACACACTTTAGTCCCCTGACCCCAAGATGGCAGTGGAGGTTGCTGTGGAAGTTACATGCCGTGTGGGACTTCTTTGTCTACCGGATGTCGCATTCACTGGTTCTTCCCAGCTTGAGGTGGCTGAAGCTGCTCTGGCGGACCTGGCTCCCCGATGCTCAGGGTGCATTTCTTCCTCTGCAGGGACATTAGGTTGGACATCTGCAATCTGCTCCACTAGACTGTTATTCACGGAAACTAGCAGTTTCCCCAGATCTAGGCTTCTTTTGTGAACGCTGGCGTACACCAGTCTGTTTCGGTGTAGTAAAGTTTTGTGGAGAGGGATAAAGCTTGTTTTCACTGTGGGGCCCTCTCTAGAACATCCACAATTCCTGCCCTAAAAAGATCGTAAAAAGGAAGGTTTTCTTTCTCCTCATCTGAGGTGACTTTTAGTGGGTTAACTGCTCTCCTGGGAAGACCTTCATGCTGATGCTGATCCTTAAGGGGCAGCGGGGGTGGGGGTGGGGGGGGGGGTGGGGGGGGGGTTGGGGGATGGGGAAGGGGTGGTAGGGGGTGGGGTGGGGGTGGGGTGGGGGTGGGGGCTCTGTGGGTTGAATGCCTCAGGAGAATGAGATTCTCCTGATGCTGTACACAAGACTCGGCAGAGTGTGTGTGTTGGGGCAGGGGAGGGGGGGAGTAGAGGAAAATTATTACCAAGTAAGTGTCCTATCTGGTGTAAGGCTTAATGCAGGAAGTAGCCTTACAGTGAGTGTGGGTTGGGAGAGAAAAGCCTGGGACATAGCCACACCACTTTGTAGGAGTTATATTGACAGTAAGCTGTAGTAAGCATTTAGCCTGCATTGGTTACTTTTAATTTGTGTGTGTGTGTGTGTGTGTGTGTGTGTGTGTGTGTGTGTGTGTGTGTGTGTGTGTGTTGGGGGTGTGGGCATGTGCACATGAGTGCAGGTTCCTATGGAGTCCAGAAGAGAGCGTTGGAGTCCCCTGAAGCTGGAGTTACAGGCAGTTGGGAGCCACCTGGTGTGGGTACTGGGAAATAAGCTGAGGTCCTCTGCAAGAGCGGTATGTGCTCTTCCCCACATTCTTTCTAGCCTCTGGGTTGTCCCCCCCCCACACACACTCCTTTTTCTCCTCCTGCTCCTCCCCATCCTCCTGCTCCTCCCCACCCCTCATCCTGCTCCTCCCCGTCCTCCTGCTCCTCCCCACTCCTCCTCCTGCTCCTCCCCACCCCTCATCCTGCTCCTCCCCACCCCTCCTCCTGTTCTTCTCCTTCCCCCTCTCCTCCTCTTTGCACTGTGATAAAATACCTGTCTCAAGCAACTCTTGATGAAGGAAAGACTTATTTTGACTCATGGTTTAGGGAGGTATGATCCTTCGTGGCAGGGAAGGCAAGGGTGTGGGAGGGGCTTGCTCACTTCTGAGAGGAAGGGAGAGAGTCAGGGAGGGAGCAGAGAGATGAGAAAGGAGTGCAGCTGGAACCCTGGGTGTCCCCCACTTCCAGGTAGGCTCCACCTCCCAAAGATTCAGCCACAGCTGAAGATCAAGTGTTTAAACACTTGAGCCTGTTGGAGACATTTCACATTGAAACCATAACATTGCCCTTGCAAAAAGTTTGACCCTTAAGTAGCAGGTTATGTTGAGGGTCTTTGGAAAAAGCCATGGGACGGAAGTCACAGGGTGAGTGGGGTTGGTGGGCATACTAAGTAGTTTGGTGTCCTAGTGAAATTTCCCAGAAGGATGGCTAAGGCAGGCAAAGAAGAGGAACCACATGCCAGGGACTGAGTTGCAACTCATAGAGTTCACACCTTGTAGATTTGGGGGGTGGGACTGGGGGGCTGGCTGAGAAGCACTAAGAAGAAGGACCTTAATGAAAGGGTCAGCAGGGGGCAGCAGAGGAGCTGAGCTCCAAGGCTCTCTCTTGGTGGTCCTTGTGCATGGTAACACTTGAGGGCCCTTAGCTTGGCTCCTGTTTCTCTGCCCTTCCCCAGGTCACTCACAGTTGGGACCAACCTCTCTGTTCCTTCACTGGCTTCAGGTGCATTGCAATCACCGAGGCAGAGCTGCTTGGAGAAGGTCTGGTGTCTTTCTCACACTGGCCGCCTCTTCCTGGAGGCAATGTCCTCAAATGGGCCATAGTACCCACACTCTTGTCTTGAGCCCCACCCACATTTAAACGTCTCAGCTCTACTGGAGATCTCTGAGATTTCAGCTTGTCCCCCTCTCTTAAGAAAATACCCACCATCTTGCTGAAGAGGAATGCTATTCCCTTGGTGGATGCTTTTAACCTAGGCTGACAGTCACACACACATGCATAAGATGCATGTTTTGACCATGACCAGTTGATGAAATATTGTAGTAACCTTCCCTTCCCTTGATTGCACCAGTGGATAGATAGCCTGGGATGAAATCATGTTCCAAACACTCCTTTTGTTTATGTAGCCCAGGCTGGCCCCCAACTCATGATCCTCCTGGTTTTGATTTCTGAGTGCTGAGATTACAGGCGAACACCTCCTCCTGTTTTGAAAAGCTTTTGATTTGAGAGAAATACATGTGGCTGTAGGAATGATTATTTTAAAATTATTTCATATTCATGTCCCACGTGTCCTGAGTAGGGTAGGGAGGTCACAAGAAGAGAACAAGGATAGAGGGGGTAGAGAAATGCGGGGGGGGGGGGGGGGGGGGGGGGCCGCGGGGAGAACCACAAAACATTATTGTTCAAAAATGTCATAATGGTATCTAACATATATTGACTAAAAATATATAATTTCGAGCCTGGCGATGGTGTTGCATGCCTTTAATCCCAGCACTCGGGAGGCAGAGGCAGTTGGATCTTTGTGAGTTCGAGGCCAGCCAGGTCTACAGAGCGGATCCAGGAAAGGCGCAAAGCTACACAGAGAAACCCTGTCTCGAAAAATCAAAAAAAAAAAAAAAAAAAAGAAAAAAAAGAAATAATTTTGGTATCTAACATATATTAACTAAAATATATAATTTTGGTATATTTATTTTATGTGTACGAGTATTTTGCCTGCATGTATGTATGTACACTGCTTGTGTACCTGGTACCTTAAGAAGTTAGAAGAGAAAGTTGGGTTCCCTGGAACTGGAGTTATGGATGTTAATGGGCCACATCGTGGATCCTGGGAATCAAACCTGGGACTTCTGCAAGAACAGTGTTCTTAACAACTGAGCCATCTCTCCAGCCCTGTATGCTGATTTAAAAAAGAAGTCCAGAAGTCCTCATTTGATCAGAAGTGCTCGGGAAAATAAAATTTACTAATATAACAATTTGTAAAATGCAAACGATTCATCACCATATTCTGCTGAATTTGTGTAGCATTCTAAAACTGATTTTTTTCATTAAAATGTTCTGAGCTGTCCCAGCTTCACAGATTACATCATATAGCCAAGTTGTTGGGTGATAGCAATTCCTTTGCCCCTGAGATGTTACACAATGAAATCGTATTGCCCCTAATTTTCATGGGGACATCTGTAGTGTTGTCTTCACAGACGAACACCGCCCCTCCCCCGGGGTGGGGTGTTTGTCATGAATAAATCCGTACAGGTGGAAAGTGATGACTCATTCCACAGATAGGAGCAGAGAGTTTAGGAGGCTTTGAAATGTGTATGCATTAGGAATCATGGCTGTAAGGGGGCACATATTAGAGCAGAGACATATTTGAGGGTTTAATGTAGTCATACACTGTTCTCACTGGACTAGCACATGTAGCTTAGGGAATGCAATTTTGTGTTTGAGTCCCAGATCAATCCTGAATTTCTACTTTGGACCACAAGGTGGTGTCTCATCTTCATTAATGCTGAAGTCAAGCACCCAGCTCAACCTGGAAACCCACCCATACCCACCTCTTCACCCTTCCTATACCCTGTTGTACCAGGTTTGTTTGTTTGTTTGTTTGTTTCCTGTAGATGTATCCAACCTTCTTATTAAATAAGAAACACAGAACCAATGCAAAGAAGAAAGCCAAGAGGTCAGAGCTAAGAGCTAAAACCTTACCCTTCCTCCTGCGGTGGTCCTACCTCTCCGAACCAAAGCTACCCCTGTGTTAAAGTCTTTATATAGAGTTCCTGTCCTGCCTTCTCATTGGTTTTAAACCCAACCACATGACCGCCTCCTCACAGCCTGTCTGTATAGGCCTCCAGGTTTTCCATGATTGGTATTAAGATTAAAGGCATGTGTATCCAATAATGGCTGTATCCCTGAACACACAGAGACTTACCCAGCTCTGCCTACCAAGTGCTGGAATTACAAGCGTACGCTACCACTGCCCTGCTTTCCTATGGCTTGCTAATAGCTCTGACCCCCGGGCAACTTTATTTATTAACATACAAATAACATTTTAATACAAATAAAATATCACCATAGTTTCCCAAGTGGCAGCATTTCTAAAGAAAATTTGGTTAACATATTTTTGTCAAGGAGACTTGTATTTGGTCGATCGTATCTGTGGTAAGATATGCGTATGCATTTTCAGTGTTTTTAGTTCGCTCTTGATCATCTATCACAGTCTCTTTCTTACAGCTTGGAACAGAAGCATATGGTACTTTGACAAGTGCCTGTCATAGGCTGCACACCGGTTAGCTTGCGAGTGGGAAGTTCCAGAGGAGCCTGCTCAGAAGTTGACTTTCCAGCTGGGTATACACAAGGTACCCATACCAGATGCTCATAGAAGGAAGCACACAAGTCCAATTGTCTAGGTTCTAGACTTGTGTTCAGTGTAAGATCTCCAAATCCATGGGGGATTAATATTTTCAGATCTACTTATTTTATGTGTATGAGTATTGTGCCTGTGTGTATGTATGTATGTGTGTGTGTGTGTGGTGTGTGTGTGTGTGTGTGTGTGTGTGTGTGTACGTATGTATGCCTGCCATGTACATACTGGCAGAGGTCAAGAAAAAACATCAGATCCCCTGGACTGAGTTACAGATGGTTGTGAGCCATCATGTGGGTGCTGGGAACTGAACCCGGGTCTTCTGCAAGAGCAACAAGTACTCTTAACTGTCAAGCCATCACACCAGCACCCTCCCCCACCCCTCCCCCCACACCATGAAGGTTTAAGATGGATAGGGGCTCCCTGATGTTTTACATGGTGATGTTGCCACATGGAACTAAAACCAACAATAAATGCACTGGGTCGGTGAGAAAGGTTTCACAGCGGGGAGGGTGGTGACACTGGTGTAAAATAGTGATGTGCCTCAGTCTACCTAGTGCTGGGATTACAGGCGAATGTCACCATTGTCCAGCTGTGACCTGTGCATTCTTGAAAAGAACATTTTGGACAAAATATAAACCAGGGAGTGTGAACAGCTTCTAAATATAAGCAGATCTACAAGTGACAGAACATTATGTAATCATTGAGATAGGTGGATCTTCTTGGTGTGTACGCCTGTCTATTTTCACAGGGGTGTGTGTGTGTGTTGTGTACGCACATATGAAAGCCAGAGGACTGCCTCTGGTGGTGGTCTTCAGATGTGGCGATGGCTATTCTTGGTTGCCAACTTGACGTACCTGGGATAAGGGACCCTCAACACCTGAGAAATTACCTCTATTACATTGGCCTACAGGCTTGTCTGCGGGACGTGTTCTTAACTGCTGACCGATGGAGGAGAGCCTAGCCCACTGTGGGTAGTGCCACCCTGGGGAAGTGGGCCTGCTTATATAGGAAGCAGGTGAGCTGACGCAGGACAAGCCAGTAAGCAGCCTTCCTCCGTGGTTTTGCCTTAACCTCTTGCCTTGAGTTCCTGTCTTGGCTTTCCTTGGTGAGTGACTTAACCTGTTACAATTAACCCTTCCCTCCCCGAGTTATTTTTTGTAATAGTATTTATCACAGCAACAGAGAGCAAACCACAACAGTTAGTGTCCACCTTTTTTTGAGATAAGATCTGTCACTGGCCTCAAATGCGCCAAGTAAGTTAGGCTGGTCGGCCAGTGAGGCCCTGGGATCTGATGGTTTGGGGTATAAAATTGTCACACCTTGCCTGGCTTTTTTATATGGTTCTGGGGCTTGAACTCATATGTGGGTTAGTCATCTCCTCAGCACCCCCCCCCCCCATTGCCCCATCTTCTTCTGACTAAATGTCAGGAGACAGAGCTGTGACCTCCTGTAACTGCAAGAGTTGTGACTTAGGTAAGATTATGGGCTTGGTCGCCATGAGATGGGTCCGTTGGGCAAGTCATCAAGAAGGTCTGTGCTTTATTTTCCCTCTGGGCACCATAGGACAATAATTCCCAGCTCAAAACGTTGTGGCTAAGAATCTATGAACAATATAAGTGCAGCAGACGGGTCACAGGCGTTAGAACTCCGACTGCCTTTTGATTCAAAGGCGTAGGGCCGCAGTTGGTTGAAGCGGGAGGAGGGCATTGGGCCTTGGAAAGGGTCCATTTCTGGGTTCCTGTGTGCAAGGCCGTTGTTTGCATTGCGCACTAGAGATTCAGCACTTAGGAATAACAGCTTTGCAGAGGAAAATAGGAATATTTGAAAACCAAAAAGAAATAGCTTGGTTTCAGACTGTGAAAACAAACAAAAATCCAAATTCATGAGTATTTCATTTTAATGTACCTGAAACATTTTATCAGTTTGGTAACTGCTTCTAGTTACATAGCTGCATAGATATTGTATTTCATGTGAGACATGGGTAAATTTTAAAATATTGGTTTGCTATGAGATGAGGACTCCAAATAGGAGACCCCCCCCAGGTCGATGGAAGCTTAGATAGCTTAGAGTGAGCACTGGGCTAGCCATGCTGCTGTCACGAATTTATTTATAAGCAAAAGAAATTTACTTCGCCCTGTTCTGAGGCTAGGAAGTTCTGTCCAATGCACTAGAAGTCCAGAAATAGAAACCTGGAGGAAGAGGATGCCAGTGCCTGTGTGTACTGGACTCCTGAGTGAGTCAGTTGATCCAACGAGGGGGCTGGAGAGATGGCCCCACAGTTAAGAGCACCTGCTGCTCTCATGGAGGACAGAGGTTCAGTTCCCAGCACGCACACGGTGGCTCCAGCGCCATGGGATCAAACATTCTCCTCCAGCCTCCTTGTGCACTGCACGCGAATGGTGCACATACGCACATACAGACAAAATATCCCAACACATCAAACAAAAAGACGTCTGCTAAAATTTCATTTATTTTATTTTTTTGGTTTTTCGAGACAGGGTTTCTCTGTGTAGCTTTGCGCCTTTCCTGGATCTCGCTCTGTAGACCAGGCTGGCCTCGAACTCACAGAGATCTGCCTGCCTCTGCCTCCCGAGTGCTGGGATTAAAGGTGTGCGCACCACCGCCCGGCTGTTCTAAAATTTTAATTAAAAGTTCACCTGTCACTGGTCCCACCCAAAAAAAGAAAACAGAAGAAAGAAAATAAGCCTTAGTAGTGTCTGGTGTTTCATGTCCTAACAATCTAGCAATTTCTTTTTACTTCCTACATATATACTTCAAGTGTATTATTCCTCGCTGGAGTTACGCTCCCATTTTCCCTTTTAGGGACAGTGTGTTCTGTGGGTGGGATCCTGGTGGAGCTGTAGGGGCTGCTGGGTGGAAGATGCAGCAAGAGGAACAGAGGAGACACATCTGTCAGACTCAGGTTCCTGGAGGTGGCTCTGACAGCAAGAAGTTGAATGTCCACCCTCCCCCCCAACACTTTGTGCTAATATGGACTTAGTAGCTAGAGGGATTGGCAAGTGTATGTGTGCATGCTTGTTTGTGGTTCAGGAGGGGTCTAGGTTGTTCCTTTACAAAAAGAGGCTTCAAATTGTGGAAGGAACCACCCCGGGTTTGCTTTATAAGACACTCCCTGCACATTTGTTAGGCTGTGTGATTTGGTAACAATGAGATTTGCATCCATTGTTTTTTCAGGAAGTCTCTGAGCAAAGGAAGGAACACCTTCCTAAGGAGGGGCCAAGGCAGAGGTGTCTTTCAGTGTTTGAAGAGCCACTGAACCTGAAACATAGCTTGGGGAAGCAGGGCCTGAGGGAATGTGTCCAGGATGTACAGACTGGCCAGGTGGAGCACCTGAGCTAACTGCGGGGCCCGAAAGAAGCCAAGGACAGGAGTGGAGAGTTTACCTGGTGTATTGAGCAGGTGTCATCTCCGACATACCTCGCTAAGCACAGTCCTGAGACAAAGGCGACTTCCTCCTCCTTGTGGCCTTGTTGTGTTTGCGCTTGACATCTGGGCGGTTCTAAAGCTGGCGGACTGCTAGGGAGGATGTGGCCGCTGGGATCTGGCTCCCTGGGGCTCACAATGAGCACAGCTTATGAACACACTTTGAAAAAAACGACAAGACACTTGTGCTCTCGTGGCCCACCTCCCAACAGCCTCGTTGCTGACTCCAGTCATGATGGGTTTCTCCAGTGAGAGGTACTGGGAAGCAGAACTACCCAATGGGGCTCCAGTTCCTTCACTTCCTGGCACAGATCTCACATGAAACAGACAAGGAAATCCCAAATCTCTGTTTACGAAGATAACAGAAGCATTGCATGTCCTGACCGGGTTTACTTTGCAGGAGTTCCCACCAAGACCACACCAGAAGTCTTGTTCCCTCGATGGATGACTTTTTATATATTTAAATTTAGGAGAATTCAGTGAACCTTCGCCTTCTAGATATTGTTATGTACTGTTTTAAGAGATGAACACATGAAGTAGAAAGTTTAACATGCTTTTAAAATTTCATACGTGCTTAAGAATAAATCACTATTTTGGTCTTAGCTCTGAATTTTGAGAATTGGATTAAGAGTTTTCTAATTATCACAATATCCAAGGCACGAAATTGTTGTCACCTCCCAAATTTCTCTTGTGCTGCCTTGGTGTCACCAATTATGCGTGCCCTTCACTCAGCAAACTGTCCTCATTCTCTACAGACTTGACCTTTTCAGAATGCCATATGATGTATAGGCTATTACGGTCTATCAACTAGGTGAGTTTGTTCATCCATTCTCTAATAAAATCTTATCAATATTGTCCCTGCTTTGGAGTGATTATGATAAAACTGATCTAATCATGTACAAGTATAGTTTTGTGTTAATGTAAGTTAATGTAAGTTTTCCTTTTATTTTCCGTGTTCCTGCCTGTCTGTTTGTGCCCCCTGTGCAGACAGTGCCTGTACAGGCCAGAAGAGGGCGTCAGATTCCCTGGAACTGAAGTTCCATGAGATTGTGAGTCGCCACCATGTGGGTTCTAGTCCTCTGCAAGAGCAGCAAGTGCTCCTAACTGCTGAACCATCTCTCCAGTCTCCACGTTTTCTTTCTTTCTTTTTTTTTAAAAAAATCACTGTATGTATTCACTGTACATGGCCATGTTACATAAGAACGTACAAGTGCATATTGTACATTGAACATGTTCCTTTCCATCTACTTCTCATTTCCACTAGGTCCCACTGCCCCTCTCCCCGACCAGGGACTTTATCTTCTTCTTTCATGTCATACATACTCACGTGATTTTATATATTTATATGAACAGGAAACTACATCTGAGAGGAACCGTATTTGTCTTTCTGAGACTTGCTTAATTTGTATGACTATATCAGTTGCATCCCTTTTTTTTGCAGACAAAATGGCTTTATTCTGCTTTATGGCTGAAAGATTCCCCTTTGGACACGGATCCATTGATCTCCACGTCTGTTTTTGTACCAGTACCATGCTGCTAGTCTAACTCAAAAATTGGGTATAGTGAGACTTCTTCCCGTATGGTTTTTCTTGCTCAGAATTGCTTTGGCAATCTGGGGCCTTTTGCACTTCCATATAAATTGTAATATTCCTTCTGTTTCTTTAAAGAATGATGCTGGAATTTTGATGAGGATTGGATTGGATCTGATGTTGGTAGTATAGTCATTTTTATAATGTTAATTCTTCACATCCATCTTCTTCTCATTCTTGCAAATATCCTCTCCTTCAGCACAAGAGAAGTGCTTCCCACTGTCCTCGGGCCTCCAGGGTACCTCCTGAGAAATTAGCAGTCATTCAAATTGATGTCTCATATCTATCATTTGCTGTTTGTGTGACTGTTGTAAATATTATTTTCTTCATACTTGGTTTTCATCAGTTTGATTCCAGTTTGTTGGCTTTCATTGAGTTTGTGTTATGGGTTTCACTGAGGCTTTTAAATTTATAAAATGCTATCTTTCACAATATTTACGAAGTTTTTACCCTTATTTCTTGAAATTTTAGTTGTGTACAGGTCCCTCACCTCTTATTCTGTGACATGAATGGCATGCATATTAGAACTATTTTGAGGTGTGGGTGGGTGGGCAGAGAGAACCTCAGATATCCTTCTCAGGAGTACTGCCTACCTCCTTTGAGGCAGGATCTCAGTTACGCCTGACTAGCTTGGCCAGTGAGTCTCAGGGATGATCTTGTCTCTACGTCCCCTGTGCTGGACTTACAAATGCATGCCGCCATGACCATCGTCTTTATGTGGGTACTGGGGTTCAAACGTGGGCCTTTCAATGACTGACCACCTTCTTCACTTTTGATATCATCTCACAACTTTTTTAGACATGATTTCTTTCTTTCTTTCTTTCTTTTTTTTTTTTTTTTTTTTTTGGTTTTTCGAGACAGGGTTTCTCTGTGTAGCTTTGCGCCTTTCCTGGAACTCGCTTTGGAGACCAGGCTGGCCTCGAACTCACAGAGATCCGCCTGGCTCTGCCTCCCGAGTGCTGGGATTAAAGGCGTGCGCCACCACCGCCCGGCTCTTTCTTTCTTTCTTATCTGTTCTTTCTTTCTCAGGTTGGGAAATGACTATTGATCTATATCTAGGCTCATTTATTCTTTCCTTGGATTTTGGCTTTTGAATTCTGATATTGGCCATGGTGGCACACCCCTGTAGTCATAGCCCTTGAGAAGTGGCAACAGGAAATACTGTAAGCCCAAGGCCACCCAGCACTACATAGTCAAGACAGGGAGGGGGGAAGGTAAAGAATGGGGGAGAGAACTATTTTACATTCTTTTCCCTTTTTTGTTTTTGTTTTTCAAGGCAGTCCTAGCTGTCCTGGAACTCGCTCTGTAGACCAGGCTGGCCTTGAACTCACAGAGATCCGCTTGCCTCTGTGTCCCGAGTGTTGGGATCAAAGGTGTGCGCCACCACCGCCCAGCCTGTTTTTATATTCTTGTCAAAGGTGTTTATCTAATTTCAGAATTAGGTAATTATTCCAGGAGCTAAGACACAGGCAGTTAAGAGTTGACATCTTTTAGTTGTCTCTTAAAAATTGGTGATATTTCATCGTTGACATTTGGGTAATGTTAGGTAGTATCTTGAGTTCTTGGAACGCTCTTTGTGAGAGCCTGAGTCACATTAAAATCCTCTGGTGGTTTTGTTTGTTTTAGCGGACAACCAACCTGGTCATATTCCTAGTTCAGGTTCCTTACTCCTTCTGTGGAGAAGGGGGCTGTGCGCTGTTTTCAAAGCCTTTGTTATTCACTCTGAACCTTTGTTCCTGGGCACATACCCTGACTGTTCATTTTGGCTGTGGTCTGTGGAGGTTTCAATCACAGTTCTGTCCTCAAAGTCTTTACTGCATTTTCTTCTGAGCTCTGTTACACACTTGTGAGATTCAGTGATGAGCTTGGGGTTCCAAGTGGTTCTGAGCTCCGTTACACACCTGTGAGATTCTGAGCTTTGTTACACACATATGAAATTCAATAACAATGTTGGAGTTATTAGTGGTTCATACAGAATTGCAATATTTAATTCTGTGCTTCTCTTTCCTATAAAATTGTCCCGTCCTCAGATGCTGTGAATATCTTCATCTGGTTCTTCTGGCTGGAAGTATGAGTTCTCTAAGAGTCTTAGCCTCTATCCTCTACTATGATGTCACACAGTTGTATGCAAATAAATTACCACGGATACAGCGCAATTGAGAGAAATGTGGTTGGGAATTGTCCTCACCCTCAGTACATCGGGGACTTCTTTCCATGTTTCGTGAGTCCATGGTACTGGTGTCGCTACAGTGGTGGTAGAGCTTTATGACTGAGGCCGAGGGCAGGACAAAGCCTAAAGAGAAATAAAAGTCCACCCAAAAGAAAGATAGGAGGATTTCTTTCCTATTTTTCTCGGAGTCCTTTTGTTTCCTAATCTGTTCTGAGAAGCTTCATGGTGTTTGTGCTAGCTGCATCCACAGTGCAGTTCAATCAAAGCAGGTCAAAGCCGGATTAAAGGGACAGAACCAACAAAATACTACAAAACCCACCATTGCCTTGGTCATTCTTGTCCCCTCCCCAGGAGCTGAGGACCGAACCCAGGGCCTTACTGCTTGCTAGGCAATTGCTCTACCACTGAGCTAAATCCCCACCCTGCACCGGTCCATCTTTAAATATGTCTTTCTATCTACCTGCTAGTATGGACTTCTCAGAGCCCACAGGCAGTTGTGTGTTATATCCTGTAGAATTGTTGTAATCAGTGGAAGAAATAGGATGCAGCGAGTCTACCCCAGTTTACCCAGCACTGGAATCCTTAGACTGCTAATATTTGATGGGCTAATGGGGTAATGATTGTCTGTCTGTGCCTCAGGATTAGGGCTTTTGTAGAAAGGCACTAAACTCCCACTGTGGCCACTTCTCTGCAGCTCCACACTTGCCTGAGCATCAGTAAACTCAGACACTGCTTTTTCTAGAAACATTGCATCAACCATCATGCCCAGGCTTCACAGTCCCGTCAGCACTGGCCAGGTCCCAGGAGGAGGAAGCATCTCGGATTTCTGTGCTCTTCGGTGCTCTCGTGTTCATATGCTTGGAGCTATCTCTCCATCACCCAAACCTCTACTTCCCTTAACTCTAAGTTCCATCACACCCTCCAAACACAACGACAACAACACCTTAGTTACTTCCCACAACATCCCATTTACTTTCTTAACTAAAGTAATTTTTAACTCAGGGACACTTATTTCACTCAAGTCCTTCCCAGAAGAGGTTGCTCTTTGTGGTTCTCCTTCTTCCTTGGGGATGGTCCCCACCAGTCCTCGAGGGGAAAGGGAACAGAAGCGAGTGAGCAGGGTCAGATGGCTTGTGAGTTGACAGAGATAGCTCTCCAGGAGACTGCTTCAACGAGACAGCTCAGCTTTATTCCAGAGAACAGGGAATATGTAGGATTAGGGACGCTAGCTGGGGAATCACCTAATTTGCATTAAACAACCTGCTCCTATCATAAAGCTCCTAGTACAAGTCTTAGTTATCACATGGGCAGCAGGGAGAGCTCTAGCAGGGATCTATGCCAAGGGTCACACTAGAGATAAATCAGGCATCCAGACCTAGAGACATTCACCAAATAAAGGCAGGTAGAGATCAGGAAGTCTCGCTGGGGAGGGAATCTTCCATACTGCGAAGCTCTGAGAGAGCTGCCAGGCCATGGCAGACTGCGACCTGTGACCAGCAGGGCCTCCCCACAGCTATTTATCTATGACTTCTCTCCACATCGCTTTTCACACTCTTCCACAGAGGCACAGACCATTAGAAGGGAAGGCTTGGATGACTTCTTCTCTTTCTATTAATTTTTTCAAGTTGGCATACAAAGTGATGAGTTTCATTATGACACGTGCGGAGAGCCTTTGTTCTTTTTCACCCCCTTCCCCACTGCCATTTCTGTACCCCTACACTCCTCTTTTGGTCCCCTTCCTTTCCTTGAACAGCCCCCTTCTTTTTTCATGTTTCATGAGTTCCACCACCCTCTCTCCACCCTTCCCCCTTAAGGCCCCCCCCCCATTTCATCTCATGGACTACTTTCTACTTTCATGATGTAAAACTAATTTATTTTTTTTTCATAGAAGAGAAAAGTGTGATATTTCCTTTCTGACTTTGGCTTATTTTGTTTAGCATAATTATCACTAACTCTATCCATTTTCATACAAATATTTTATTTTTGTTTACAGCGGAAAAAATAATTGTGTGCACAGACTACATTTTCTTTATCCACGCATCTGTTAAGGGGCATTGTTGGTTCCAGCTCTTAGTTATTATGAATAGTGTGACAAC